TTTCCACCGTTATCCCGTGCTCCGTGAAAGGCCACGTCAATCTTAAGTGCATTTGCTGGAGCGGTCTGCCCAAATGACAATCTGTGACACTTCCAAAGAAAACAGACCGGAAATGCAGACAGAGTTATACATCAGGACAGGGACACCAGTGTTCATGTTGAGGCTCCCTAATATTTTACTAAAGAACAGTAAGAAATAACCATGGCTCTAACTTGCAAGCTGTCTTGAACAGATATCACAAGGGCTGTTACATTATGTGAAAAATAAAATGCTTTAAAAATCTTTTTTCTGACAAGATGTGCAGCAAGCATGATGCTCACAAACTTGACTTTATTTCACCTTAAATATAACAGTGTTTTAAAAAAATCAGTAAGTTCAACGGTTTTTTAAAAAATTAAAGATACAGACATACTTTTCATGGTCAAAAAACGATTCCAAGTAGTTTCTTTAGCAGTTACTTGTAATAGATTTTTTTTATATATACGGAAGAACATTTTTTGGTAATGACTCACATTTTCTCTCTCTAAATAAAGACTGTCAATCAGTCAAGCTAGTGAATTTTGGAGGGAAAAGAAAGGTGTACATGAGTGGTAGGTAGTTCTTTAAAAGAACATGGAATTTTAGAATTGGGGGGTTTTAGTATTCTATCCCCTTCTTACAGAGAAGGCAGCAGCTTTTGCAGGACACAGCCAGAGTGAGAAATGACCTCTACATGTCAAGTTCCTCTCTGGGACCCAACTACAGGGCCTGCCAGCCTGGGAGGATGCAGGGAGACAGGGTCATACTCCAATCTAGCCAACTTGGTGCAAAGATGTTGAAAGAAGAGTGGCAGAAAGCCCCTGTGGTGATTTCATTTGGAAGCTCCCCCTTTGGAAAGACTGCTGAGAATACCCAATATGTTCCTCTTAAGTGAAAAAGAAAAGGGAGATTCAATTTCTTCCTAGAGTCATGTTGACTATTTCATAGACCCAACTTTAACAAGCCAAACACCAGCCACCAGACCTGCTGGTACAAATGCTCCATGCCCTGTGTTACTGGACCACCACATCATAAGAAACTTTCAGAGCGGACCAGTGCTTGCTCCTGAGCTCAGGACCAGTCACTAGCAAAGAGAGCAGGGAGTGTTCACACGAAGCCCCAGGGTTCCTGCACGGATGGGCTGGACGGTCACATAGATACATACCTCAGCAGCTTCCAGCATGCCCCAGGAAGAAGACACAAGAGACCTGGCCTTTTGTGACACAAGACCACCACCATAGACAGATTGTAGGTGGCTGGGCTGGACGAACCTGCAGCCTAGTGATGAGAAAACACCACACACTTGCCCAGCTGTGTGGACCCAAGGGGGAAGAGTCAAGGTGGCCAAAGGCCAGAAAAGCAGACAGGGGACCCCACACTCTCAAGTCACTGTGGGGCTAGAGTTTACAAACAACTGCTTTCTAGACCTTTAGCAATGCTTTTCTGATGAGCTTAAATGCTAATGTTTCCTGTAATTAACTTGGAGAGAATGTATCTCGATAATTTTTGGGATTGTTTCTGATTCTAAGTACCTAGAGTTAAGTGTCAGAAAGAAACAAAACATGCAGGCTTGCTGGGCCAAACACCTCTGACTATAAGTCTGGAAATATGTTTGAAGTTGAAGAAGTAAATCCCTTTTCTCCTCAATTTTAATTTATATCAATTATTTTAAATGGTTGTAGATTGTTTGCTATTTCCTTATATATATTTAAATTGAATTTACTATATGACTTAGTTTTATATCTTGCAATTTCTACTCTAGCACTGAAATCAGCATGGTTTAATGTCTAAGGCTTATGATATCTGCCGGAAAGTTGACCTGGGCTGGTTAGTTTAGTGGTTAGTACCTGTATCACTCATTAAAAAAAATCACCCGGCACTTCCCAGGTAAAAATTACTGCGGCTTCTAGGTATCAGTAGTTACTTGTTTAAAAAATTAAAAAGAAGAAAAAGAAGAAATGGATCATAGCTTGAAATCCGGGAGCTATAAAATTATTTAAAATTTTAAGTCTTATCAAATGTTATCAGTGAGGTAAAGCTTATTTTAAATTAAGGACATTCTCCACCTGGAGTTGATAGACCACAGCGCTGACATCGGGGAACCCAGAGTGTCTGCCGTTTCCACGGTGCTCTGTGAGCACATTCCTCGTGTTCTCTCCTACAATGTGATCTGATTCACATCTGTCTGTCCAAGTGACCTGAAAAGCTGATGTTTTCACTTAATGCTGATGATGGGAAGGCGATTCCGAGCACAGTCATTTTGGGACACTGCAGAGAGTCTCGAACATGTAGGCATTTTCTACGACATCATCTTCCATCACAGATGCAAAAAAAAAAAAAAAAAAATCCACAAGCAGGAGGCTGCATTTTTAATTTGGAAAAAAGCAAAAAGTAAGAATTTCAAGACTAATCAAGAAACACTCACCGCTTCAACCTAAGCCATCAACCCTTGCTGACTTGCCTCGTAGAAATGCCATGGACATAATACAGCCACCATAAACAACCGTCACCTCAGACTCCACTTTTCCATCAGAAGAATCAAGGAACGCAATTCAGAAATCATATGACATCCTGCATTTTATTCAATTCCATATGACAAAAATAGTAACCTAGACTAAGACATCCATTTCAATCAGCAGATGTGTCAAGCCACAAGATTTAATAATAAAAAATATTGGATCTCGGTAACAGCCCCCAGCTGGCTCAGGGAAGTCCCACCCTCCGTGGTGCTCCAGTATAAAAATAGCGTCTCTCTTCACGCGCGGAGGGACGGCCGGCCCTGAGTGCAGGCGGGGGCGCTAGCTGCACCTCCATGGGCCATCTTATTTACAGCACTTTACATTTCTCTTTTCTTAATTATATACACATCCTTTCGGGAGAAGAGAGAACACTACGTGGTACCAAATACTAACAACAACAAAAAAATCACAGCAAAAGGGACACATAAATAATAAAAACATTCAACTGCTGAGACACAGCAACAGTATGCCACCTGTTTTCTTTTCCCAGTGCTGCAACACCCCGCCACTTATTCCGGGAGAGGAGCTGGTCCATGAAGGAAGTCAAGTCTCATCACCGTGGAAAACAGAGCCGTGGAGTTCAGTGTTCATTTCCAGTAGAAAAAGACAGCTAGCGAGTCTTTGAAACTCTTTCTGTTCATTACATGCTGACAAAAGTAGCCCATCCTCTTACAGTGGTTTTTGTTGTTGCTGTGGTTATGCTAGAGATTGTTGTTTTCCTGTCTCAACTGAGGAGACTCCACCGTCCGATTCTTTCTTCAGGGGCACACAACTGCTTACACGGGGACCCAGCTACCCATATTTGCTCTTGAACAATTTTGTTGTTGGAAGTTTATAGTGTCAGGTTCCAGCATGCTCACAATGCACGAAAATGAGGTAGTACACACAACACTGCTGTTCAAGTTTCAACCTGGCCCGCCTCCCGGCAGCCCGGCCCCTTCCTCCCGGACGCAGCTTGGACACAGCCATCGGCATCCGACTGTGTTCTGAATGATCAGAGGCTGTTGTGCTTTGCTTTCATCTGAGAAGATAATAAATAGATCGGGAACTCAGAAAATGTCAAAGTCCTGACTGATGGTACTGCCAGGCTCTTGCTGACTCCCTCCGGGTCACCGTCACAGTGACCGGTGCCACCGGGGCAGTCACAACCCTGCCCGCCGATGTGCGAGAGAGGCCAGCTTATACCCCACACCTGCACAATGTCCCCCTGGGAACTTCCTGGCTTGTACTCATGTCACAGTTCTAAGATTGAGTCACCAAAGTGTTGTGGGGGGCAGTCACAGTTTCTAAATGGGCTTTGTAGAAAAGTTAAATAAATCATTTTAATTTAAGAAATGGCAGGCCCTATTTTACTGAGGAGCTGACAAGTCTTGGTGGCTTTTCTGTGTAAGTAGCATAGATTTCTAATATTGTCTGTCCTTAAGAAAAAACAAAAAACTGTAACAGTTTTTTCGTTTTCCTTAAACTGAAGTACTATTTATAAAATACTTTACATCTTTTTAAATTTTTCAAATTATAGACAAACCTCCCTAATACAAAATACTAAAAGTGCAATAGTATAAATTAAGAGTTTGCAACCACATTATACAAACATTACCTTTTTATTGTACAGCTTGGATGATGTGAAATACTCACTCACAACTGGTTATAGTGTTGTGAATAATTTAGGGTGATGTCTGTCTGTAACTGGTTTCCCAATCGCTGGCTACAGACCACACTAGAAAACAACTGTCCACATAGCAGCTACAAACATATAAATTAAGAAAAGAAAAGAAAAAAAGGCTTGTTACTGACAGGTACTTGCACACAAAAAGCATGCTATCTTTCCCAAGAGAACTTCACGATTTTGCCTGCATTGAAGTAATCCACTTATTTATAGTAAAACAAATCTTGCTTTAAAAAAAAATCACATAGCTAGATGTATCCTGCAGTACAAAAGCTTCATTTAAGTTGGGGCTATTATATTGTCTGTTACCCGCATAATCTTAACATTATAAATACTACAGACGAAGATACTGTCCTTATACACAGTGCTGGGAGTACTAAACCACTTCCTTAGGATGAAGAGTTCTAAAAACAGGGTTCAAGTGTCTAGTTGGAACAAAGCCATCGAGTGAGCTTCACCACAGGGCACCCCTCCTCCCTTGCAGGGATTGCCAGGTTTCAGGAAGAATGAGGTGGGGTATGGTCTGTGCCTGTGCTATTCCTGTGTGGATCTCCCAGTGCGTCTCTGTGTGACAGGGACTCGTCAACAAGGCTGCTGAGTTCTCAAGGACTGTCGCGCTCACCACTGAGGGCAGCACCTCACAGCGCTCCGAGACCCCCTGCCAGCGGCCGCACAGAGGATCCTTTCTGCTCTGGATGACACTTGAATGAGAACCTGGGCGAGAAGGGCCGGAAGCCTGCGGCTCTGACTTCAGGAGGTGGACACAGGCGGAGCTGAGGGACAGCATCGTGGCCCAGCTAGTTTATGCCGATCTCCTTGTTGTCCTCGATGAACCTTGTGAATGGGCGACTGGCTGCGGTGTCTGCACCCGCCTTGTCCAGGCTGACCACGGGTGGACTGTTGCCCGTGCGCGCCTTGCCCATCCCCCCGGCCACAGCCCCCAATGGGGGTAGGGCACTGCTGCCGAGACTCACGGGGAGCTGGGGGACACCCCCATTCTGGATAACAGAGATCTCGTTGTTCTTCATGGCCAGCCCATTGGTGATGGCGGCAGCATACTGGTTCCAGAAGCTGGGGTCCACGTTCATCGCTCGGGCAGCCAGATCCTTCTGGAATATCTCAGAGAACTTGAGGGCATCGCCCCCCAGCAGAGCCATGGGGTTCTCCACCGACAAACGACGGCCACGCCGCGCAGGGGCGTTGTTCCACATGTGTGTGCCCATGTGTACCTGTGGGACACGGAGACGAGCCACGTGAGCCAGCCCAGACGTGCCGCTGCTCCCAGGTCCTTGGGCACCACCCTGTTCTACGTGTCCGTCTGGGGACGACAGACTTCATACTTCTACGTGGAATGCTCAGTCTTACTAAATACCAAAAGCAAGCCCAGCAATGTCAGCTACAAGTGTGTTCCCTCAGTTGACAAACTTGACAGAATAATTTTCCCTTAAGGTGTAAAACCCAAGGCCACCCAGGATATTCTAGAGGGCACAGGGTCAGGGGTCTGGCCCTTGCTCCATCCAAGTCCTTGCCCTCCTGTGTGCCTCATCTCCCCAGGTCCTCTGTACTTGAACTCTCCTCCCACTCCTCTATAATAAGAATAAAACATCAATCCAAAGCATTCCAGGGCACCTGCACCTCCTCCCACCAGGCAGCCTCGTGGAAGACTTGGGATTGATCTCTGGATGTCTGAAGAGGCTGCTGGGCCAGGTGTGTGCATCTTGTGGATAGAGATGGCTTTTTAACTGGGCAGCTTGTCAGACACCCTCTCCTGGGAACACAGAGCATGGCTGTGACCTCAGACACAATACTGTGCATGCTGCCCTTCTCCCATGCCAGAAGGGCTCACCCAGTGTCCCCCATGACTCTCGGTAGTCACAGAACCCTCCAGAAGTTGCAGAGCAGCCTGCCTCAGTGTGACCTGTCTTATGTGTGAGGCTAGAAAGGCCATGTCTGTTCTGTATCACATTCAGGAGGGTGTGGGGCCTGGGCTTGCCCGCCAAGGTGCAGAGTGTTTCCTCATACCTCCCATGGAAGGGAGCGGCTCAGACTCATGTTTCTCTCATGGCCACTTAACAGGATGTAGTCTCATAAGTCCATGTGCACAGAACACATGTGCACACATATACCACACACTATATGTGCATTTGCACACAAAAAATACTCACACTCTACAGGTGTGAATACACTATATATACCCATACAGTAGGCACGCACATGCCATACATACATACACACACACACAACCTGCACACACTGCTCATTATGCATCTACAGACATATGACACACATTACACATGCACTACACATGTACACACAATCCACATACATGCGCATACCACACACACAAGAACATTTGTACACATACATACTCAAAAGATACAGGTACAAATATACTGCACACACCAAACAATAAACAATCTATACATGTACCCATGTGCACAGATGTGTAAATACACACGCAACCCACACACTGCCCATACATGTGCATGCACATGATATACAGTCATCCACATACACACTTTATATATGCACACACGCTAACCTGTGACACACCCACACTATATACACAGCTGTGGCATCTCTTGCCCTGGCCTGGTTGAGAGTGGGATTTGGGCTGTGGCATCCAAGCAGGCTGCAGAGCCCGAGCTCACCTTGAGGTTGCCCTTGGTGGTGAAGGCACGGCCGCAGATGGTGCAGCCGAAGGGCTTCTCGCCGGTGTGCGTGCGCTCGTGGATCTGCAGGGCACTGGCTGAGGAGAAGGTCTTCCCGCATGACTGGCAGTTGTGCTGCTTGGGCGTCCGGCGTGGTGGGGGCGCCAGCATGGGTGCCAGGCCCGGGTTCAGCACCGTCTGAGGCGCGGCGGGTGCTGGGACACCAACTGGCAGTGGTGGGCCCTCGGCCAGTGCCAGGGCCTTGGCGTGGCCATTCACCTCCATTTTGATCATGGTGGGCGCAGCGCCGGACACCAGGCTAGGAGTGCTTTGGCTGGGACCTAGAGCAAAGTCGGGGTCAAAGGCCTGAGAGGGCAGCTCCCTCCACCTGTGCGTCAGCAGGTGCTGCTTTAAATTACCCATAGTGGAGCAGCCGCGCCCGCAGACCGCGCAGACAAACGGGCGCTCCTTAGTATGGCTGCGGTGGTGGATCTCCAACGCACTCTTGCAAGCAAAGGGCTTGCCACAGACACCACACACAGTGCTTGCACACTTACCCCGCTCACGGTTCAGGAACAGCAGGCTGAAGGGCGGTTCCTCCTTGATGGCCGGTCGGCCAGGGGGCCCGGCAGTCAGGTCCAGGGCGCCGCCAACACCGGGCACGGGGGCCGGGCTGTCTGGCCGTTCTGTCTTGAGCGGGACATCCGGGGGCTCCTCGGGGCCTGGACCCGGGGATTTGGAGCGGAAGCTGTCTCCCTGGCTGTTGGCAGGTGACAGGGTCTGCGAGGACGATGACTCCGATGGTGCTGGACTGCCTGCACTGCGGCTCTCCAGGTCACCCACAGCCGATGATGAGTCGTTGCTCAGGCGGTCGCTCTCACCCGACCCATTCTCTGCGGCCTTGAGGCCAGCCAGTTGGGGGCAGCCCATGACGGAGTCGATCATCTTCATCTGGTTCTCCAGGGCGGCCAAGCTAGAGATGACAGAGGGAGGTGATGGCGGGCAGGAGCCCGCAAAGGCCAGCAGCGGCTTGGCTGCGTCAGTTGCATCCTTGGGCTCGGCATCATCCTCCATGGAGTCATCGCCGTCACCGTCCAGGCTGCTGAGTGTCTCAGTACCTTTCTCGTCATAGGCCAGCTCGGCATCCATGGCGTCCTGCAGGCCGTCTGGCAGTGGCGTGTTGGGGATCTGGCCACCCATATGCATGCGGATGTGCTGCTGCAGCACCACAGCATTGGTGAACTTCTTCTGGCAGATGGGACAGGAGTGCTGCACACGCAGTGGTGGCTTGGCGCGGTGCACGCCAAAGTGCGTCTTCAGGTTGCCCTTGGTGGTGAATGCGCGGCCGCAGATCTTGCACTTGAAGGGCCGCTCGCCCGTGTGCGTCCGGTAGTGCATCTTGAGCGCGCTCTGGCAGCTGAGTACGCGGTGGCAGATGACACACTGGTTGGGGTCTGCCATCTTTTTGTCAATGTTCTCCACCAGCTGCTGTAGCTTTGAGGTCTCCGAAGTTTGCATAGAGTCGAGCAGGCCCCCAAAAGGGAACTGGGCCTTGAACTGGTCGGAGACGGCTGGGAGCCCGGGGCTGCCCAGGCCTGTGGGCGTGCTGTCTGTGACTGCTGATCCCGGCACTGTACTGGCTGGGCCACCTACAGGCGTGTCCCCTGGCCTGGCGTTGGCGCAGGGCAGGCCAAGGGGTTCGGCTTTGGGTAGGGAGGAAGTGCCAAGGAGCGGCTGTGGGGACTCAGCTGGCGCGGGCACGCTGGGCTCGGGGTTGTTGAGGCCAGGGGACAGAGAAGGGCACTCGCTGGATGCAGGCGAGGGCCTCTGTGGGGAGCGACTGGCAGGAGTGGCACCAGGGGAGTCGGTGTAGCTGTGGGTGCTGGGTGTGGGTGGTGGCAGCTGCAGCCCCACCGACGTGGGCACCGTGGGCAGCACGGGTTTGCTGTCCAGCCAGGTGGTCACTGGCTTCTCTGGGGGCAGCGACATGCCGTAGGGGATGCCAGAGCAGGTGGGCACATTGTCGAGGTACTCGGGCACCGGGTAGGGGTTCATCTGGATATGCGGGTACTTCTCCTTGTGCCGCTGGAAGTGCACCTTGAGGTTGCCTTTGGTGGAGAAGCGATTCCCGCATATGTTGCACTTGAATGGCCGCTCGCCCGTATGCGAGCGCAGATGGATCTGCAGCGCACTGTCGCTGCCGAAGACCTTGGCGCAGAAGCGGCACTTGTGCTTGAAAAACGGGTCCTCGGCGCTGGCCTTGGGCTCGAACACTGACACGTTGGGTGGCTTGCCCTTGCGTTGTTTCATGAGCGCTGACAGTGGGTCCAGCGCGCTGGCTGTGGCTGCTATGCTGACCAGCGGGTTGGGGAAGATGACACTGCTGGATGAGCTCTGAGGTAGCAGGGGCGTGGGCAGGCCGGGGGCCGGGCTGAGCAGGGGCGTGGGCCCCAGTGTGGGTGGCGTGGGTGCGCCCGGGGGCCGCTGTGCGGTGGCGCTGGTAACTGCGGGGACCGGGGTGGTGCTGGGGGCCGCGTTCGTGCCGGGTTCGG